TCTATTTTATTTTGAATTGCGTAGGGGAGGAAAGTAGTGTTTTTGTTGTTGTTATTGTTGCAGTTGTTGTTGTTGATGAGGAAGTTGTTGTTGTTGTTGTTGTAGTTGTTGTTTTTATTGCCGCTGCTGTTGTTATTGCTGTGTTATTATTATTATTATTGTTGTTGTTGTTGTTGTTGTTGTTGTTGTTGTTGTTGTTGTTGTGGTGGTGGTGGTGGTGGTGCTGGTGCATGGTGGTCGTGGTTATTGTTGTCGTATTTTATTGACAAAGACGCCGCTAGTGATTTCATAGACTTGCTATTTCAAGGTTTTGATGATGTCGATGTTGATAGTGCCGTTGGTTCTCGTTTCTTGCAGTGGCGATGGCGCTGCTGTTGATTCTCATGTTTCACGCGGGCTGTGCGGCTAGCTGTGGCGGCTGTGGAGCCAAGTGCGCCACCTACTGCAACCGCAACCAGTTCGACATGTTCACCGACTGCTGCGTCGTGACGCTAATACGCCAGAAACGCTACAACACGCGTCAGCCCGATCAGCGTCACGCCACCGACGCAAGGTCGCCGCCGATCGACGCTGACGATGACGTAAGATTTTTTCGCGTCGCGCGCTCGCACTTGTTAGTCGCGTAGCTGCTATTAAATTAGCGACAGACCTACTAATTAAGAAGAATTAAGTCATTATTAATTAGCATCGTCGCGGATAAGGAGAACTATTAACTTGTGAGATTGAGATAATTCGGCGAGGCGTGCATGGGCGGTGGATCATTTATATTCGCGCCACCCGTGTGTCTGTTGCTCTAGGACGTACGAAATAGCTATGGCAGAATACTGTTAGAGCTTTTTGGTCTGCTTGCCTTTGCTTACTGCCGATGTTTTCTCGTGACGTGATTTTGATTTTTTCCGACGAAAAATAGGAAACCCCGCCTAACCTATTGAATTTACATGCCCCTTAACCGTAATCTTTAACATGTTTGCGTTTTTGGTATACTCTGGCGAAGATAAGTGAGTTTTTCCACCTAACCGAACCTTCCAGCGCGTCCCAAACAAGAGCAAAGTGAATTTTCGTTAGCGTAAGCTCTGCTTAAAGTAATCTTTATGTATGTGAGAAGAGGAAATTATGCACATGTTCGGGAGAGTGCACAGTCATCCTAGCCCACGGCCTCCTAGAGAGCGCAGATAATATATATATATATATATATATATATATATGTGCCACAAGGTGGCTATACTAACCAAATGTCGGATTTAAAATGAATTTAGTATACGATCCAGTGCCATGTAATCATCGTTAAAACTTGAAATCGACCGAAGCCGAAGAGTGCGTGCCTTTAATCGTTTTAATTTTGTGAGATAAATTGTATTCCACATGTCAATACAGTCGCGCCGCATCTATTTTATACAAAAGTAGCAGTTGCGTAATTCAACGGGACATCAAAAATAGCCACCGGCTACATTATTTATGCGCCGTTATTCTAGAAAACGTTCTCAATTTATTTCCACAGTATAAGCAACAAGACACGCGGGCGGCGGATATGACGTCGACCGGACATACGGGGACTTTGTTACGCGGCATACTTCGAGCGCTAACTAAGGACCATCGCGCCCCGAGCCGGAGGAAGTAACGGAGTCTCAGCTCTCGCAAAGAAAAAGAAAAAAAGAAAAACAACAGCAACTTCTAGAAATCGCGCCAGTATTCAGATAAAAATGAAATCACGTTGCCTCGGTCAACCAGCGCGTCTGCGATGAGGAACGCTGGCGGAGTGTACATAATTATAATGGCACGCCCATGGTCTCTAACGTAAAATTCGAGCGGTCGTTTTATTAGTGTTGGACTGAGTAGATCATCGTCATATTTGTGTGTCGTCTTTCAAGATGCTGGCAGTAAATTAAGTGTCTAAGTCACAGGCATTCGTGTTTAGATGAGCGCTCGCAGCTCGGCGACAAAATTGCTCACTCGAGAATTCCAACTCGTGGAAATGTGTAGGAGTGGCTGTTATAATTGTATTGGTTCCGTCGCATCCTACCTCTTCAACGTCGTTGACCATTACTCGGATAAATATAGCCATGCAAAGTAGTTTGACCTATGTACACCACGGGAGCAATGGTCCCCCGTCAGCCTTCCGCTATAATGTAGACGCAGTGTGTGGACTCTAATTCAATAGCGCAGTCCAGAGCCGTAGGTAGAACACTACGGCTCTGGTAGAGTCCAGTCGGCAGCAGAACGCTCCTCGGGTGCAGTGTTACCGAGGATACATATAGGCTCGTCGTCATAGAATCGCATGGCCTAGCTTAATTCGGGTAAGATGGGTTGGGTGGTAACACGCTAGCTTTACTCTCTCAGCAACTCCTCGCGTGCATCTTTTTGAAATCTCTCTATCGATCTTAAGAGAGACTGATCCCGCGTGTGACTCGCTGAAAACAGGCAGGTGATCGAGGCGCCCTCTCGCGTCAGGCGAAAACACTGTTCTCTACATACTAACTATACTAAATTAGCATATAGAGATCAGTGGACGAGAGCTACGGAATTGCACATCACTTTCGCGTGCGCGTGCGCAGTCAGCCCCTGTGACCCTCATCGTTTCCGTTTCCGCTCTGCGGCATCTTGCGCTGCAGAACGAGGCTTGCGCGCGCTGCCAAATTCGATCACGGCGGTTCGATTCCCGCCGTTGCCTCCTCTCATTGTTCGCAACGAAGGTATCGTCAACGTCGCCAGCGTCGGTGCGAGTGGGTTTCGATTAGTGCTAATTCTGCTGATGGGCGGTCCCCGGGACCTGCTCATTAGCACAAGTATTCGTGGAGCTGGTCGCGTGACCTCCCACGGGTGCGCCAGTGCAGGCGATCATGGCTAGTCGCTCGGCGCGGTACTTGTTTTACATAAGCTGCTGAGTTGTTACCGATGGCAGATGTATCTCTCGCTATCCATATCCTCATGCGTACAACATACATAGTTATTAGAGCTGAGCTACGCTAATTTCCAGTGAGTCGAATCTCGCGAGACGGAGGCGTGCATGCTATCGCCTGCGAGAGGGTGTGAAATAGACATAATGCGATAGCGCTAAAATTCGCAGCAAAAACGTTGGAAACGGGGGTAAATATGTGTTACAATATTCGCAGGGCTATTTCTGGTTCGTGCATGTTAAATAATTATAAACGTATAGTCAAAACACTAAATAATTCATTATTTTTGATTAATTATTGTATATTGCGCGCGTGTTAAGAAAACGGAAGATTCAATAATTAATAACCAATTTTGTTCAGCCACAACAGAATGTTCTTTTTGTCTTTTTCTTTCTTTTAAAAAATAGAATAATTATTATAAGTTAATTCCAGTTATATGTGTGTGCGCGCGCGCGTGCGTGCAAGTGTGTGCGTGCGGGGGTATGTTTGTCAATTAATGATAAAGCGCGCAACGAACGACTTTCTTCTGCTAATAATTTTAAATACTTATAATAAAAATACGGGGAGCGGACAAAATTAACACATTTCGACATTTCCAAACTTCTGGAGCAGCATATTTTCTTCTGGGGAAATTAAAGTAGCTATACGCACATTTCGAATGGAAATGTTTGGAAATGCCTTTTCGTCATTTAATCTCTCAGTATTCTGTTGTTTCGCCATTTAACCTAGAGCACTAGTCTAAAGTACCCCTCGGTAGTACGAGCGAGCATCTGAACCTGTTGTTATTCGGACAACATGAAATTTCTACGGAAAAGTAAATAGTGGCTGTCCCATTTCCGGAGAGAGAAAAAGCGGTAATCTTTTCTTAATTTGGGCCTCCCTCTCTCTCTCTCTCTCTTAGAAAATGTTTGCAACACTCGTCTATTATTGAATATTTTGAGCGAACCTAGACGCTCGTTGATCACCATTACTGTGGTATTAAAGGGATTACGTCACGAATTTTCTATGGTAAAATCTGTAAAAAAAAATTCCCATTTTTTTTACATTAAAAGTAAGAACTAACGGGACTAAACAAATCGTCAAATTCTTACCTGATAAGATTGCTTCTCAACTAGTTAAAAATCCAAAAAACCTGGACGATTTGAATTAATGTTGTCTAACAATAATTGCTTGCTATAGGCTATGTATGGGTCACGAGTGTATGTTCACATCGAACAATATAGTAAAATAGGAAGTATAATGCAGCAAGTTAACCATAAAATGTAAACAGAATTACTTATATTTTGTGAAAAAGTGGAAATTTATTTTTTATTTTTGACTATTTACGGTGACGTAATCACTTTAACACCGTGACAACGTATGACTATCCCGTCGCAATAAAACACGATATGACTTTTTGCTACCTCCTGTTCTCAATGACTGCATGAGCAACATTTATCACCGGTGCAGTCTATGCATTAGACACTTGTAACCTGGCGATGCCTTATATTAATCTAACAACGATGTATTGTCGATGATTGCCTACTGGGAGCCACGGTTTGGGAATCCTCCCACACTCACCCACGATAGACTAAAGAATAATACATTCCACGTCCCAAAATTGCGTTAGTAATTTGTGTCTATATGCTAATTGCGTTATGGTGTTTCTCTGGCAAATAAATGGACTGCGTTTGACAATGACAGAATTGTCGGGACGTGAGCAATGCAGGTCGAAATCCCCAGATAAACGGTTCCGTTTGATTTCTTCGCTACAAAACTACCTACTAGTGGAAAGCACACTGATAGTCACAGAGGTAATCAATGATTACAATTATAAAGCGACCTATATTGTGACACAAGTAAAGACTCGACGAAATAGTGCCATCACTTCATTCTGGATGTTCGCGTATTTATAGAATATGTTGCACATCAATGTTGAATTTTCTTCTTCCATGTCACAATAGCAACACTATATATGCTAGTAGAAAGCACTTTAACACCCAGATGCATTACACATTAGCCAACAACTAAAAACATTTCCGAAATGAAAGATACTAAACTACCTTTAATTTTTGCAGTTTAAAATGTCTCATAATTATATACATATAAGATAGAAAAATGCACATGTATATTCATATACGGAAATAATACATACAAGTATTAGAGTAGTTTATTGAAAATCGCTCAATTGGTAAACAATAATGTCACGTTGTAAAATATATGTCATACCAGAACATGATATAATGCACTGTCGCTGGTTTTCTTAAACCTTGTTTAATACCGATATGAAGTGAAAATCAATACAGGATAATTTTAGCTCAATGCGTGCCTTATAAAATTAGTCTAATTACTCACGAGAAGCACATCAAATCTAAGACACAAACTGACGGACAAAAGCAAAATCCCATTCAAGTGATCACGACAAGATCTCACTTTTTCAGAACACATTTTTTCTCTTCTTTCCCACCATTAGATAGCCTGCCGAAAATGCCAACTAAAAAACGTAGGTTACACGAACACCGCTGCATCGACCACGCGCTCACGCAACAGAATGAGTATCAACGAGAAACTGCAGCGGCTAACAGCAGCAACAGCGAGCCAGTAAACAAATGCTGTTCCTCTGCAGTGGAATTCACGCGAGTGGAATGTGAAAAAGATGCTCTGGCGGGCTATCGGTAGCATCGTACAATCGACAATGCCTGGGTCAACAGCGGATACGAGTTGCTCAACAGCCGAATTCGCACCGCATGCAATGCAGAGACACATCTAGTAGTATTACATCCAGTGCGACTGCTGCAGCATGCGATGTAGGAAGGTGACGCGCTAGCTGGCACTCTGTACGATCATACGTGTATCGTATCTATCAACGTACTTCGCACACATGCACAGATGGGGTTCATTCATGCAATGACTCGCAACGGTGGGGAGGGGTGAGACCGCCACGGCTCGGACTGGGAGGGACGAGACCGCCACGGCTCGGGCTGGGAGGGGTGAGACCGCCACGGCTCGGGGTGGGAGGGGTGGGACCGCCACGGCTCGGGCTGGGAGGGGTGAGACCGCCACGGCTCGGGCGGGGAGGGGTGAGACCGCTGCGGCTCAGGCTGGGAGGGGTGAGACCGCCGCGGCTTGGGCGGGGAGGGGTGAGACCGCCACGGCTCGGGCGTGGACGTCAGTCTTGTTTTGCTTCTCTCACGCCGTTGGCTTCATGCTTCTGTCGGGCGGCGTGATACACATCGGACGCTACAAGCCGGGTTGCTGGGAGAGAAACGTCCGTATCCTCTGTAGCAGATCCTTCTTCACAGCATCCGGCACCGACGCTACGCATAAACAATAAACAACGTTGAATAACGAACTCAATAGCGTCGAATGCGACCGTGACAATAACACAGACAGTAGCGCTAAGTACGATAATCACATTATAATTACACAACAGCATTTTGGAATGTTCAGTTTTACCAAATAAAGATATATGCTTAAGCTGCGGCTTATGACGTTGTGCCAAGTGAATGTCACTAGTAACGTCGTAAACGTAGTAAACGTAACCCTAACCCTAACCCTAACGTAGTAAACGTTTGAAATTCAAAGCAAAATTAATTCCTTACTTATTAGTGATGACAATATTTTGTGCCGGATGATAACACATGAGTACACTGTTTTACACTTGTAAGTAAAATAATATAGTTATGCATTAAGATAAGTCTAAACCATTTATTAAACAGCGAGCGCTTATCACAAACCTGGCAATAGTTTGAAGAAGGTAAAAGTTCAGGGTAATGTATATTCCAAAGTTCTGCCCGGTCTCTAGAGGGCGTCCCCAACTAACTAAATGCTCACATTTCTACAACATCCCAAACTTATTTCAAACTAGACAGAGTGCACTCACGGAGAGTGCATACCTCCGCCAGCGACATACGCCATACGACTCACAAACACACGAATAACCCACGATATAGGCCAGCGTACTACTGACATGTACACGCTGGCTTGCTGGCTTGCTGCTCGCTCACTCATAGCAGCCGCTCGTTGCTGCTGCTCGCTCACATGTACACGCTCGCTGTCTTGCTGCCACTCGCTCGTAGCAGCCGCTCGTTGCTGCTGCTCGCTCACATGTACACGCTCGCTGGCTCACTGCGCTGACTCGACGCGCTAATATCGATCACGCGAAAACACGAACACATGCACACGAACACATGCACACGAGACCCAAAACATAACCTACTCCACAACTCCGTTGGGCGGAGGTAATCAAGCGAAGGCTATTCTAATATAGTTCGAAATTTAGGAAGCTTTAGAGTAAAATGTTAACCAGGTAGTGCCACCTTGTGGTTGATATCATAAGCTGTACAACACTATGAGCTCAATGGCATTTCCTTTCTTGTGCAAGACAAGCATACTACAGTTAACATGTAGCAAGCAGCGTACCCAGGCCACTCGTTTAAATTCTCTGAACCTACTATTTTAATACTTTTAAGTAACATGGTGGTAATAACAACATGATAATAATTAAGCAAATATCAATAGATAACATGATTTCAGCTTTCAGCATTATTTTTAATTAATTGATGCTATATTTAGGCCACATAGTAATGGTTAACAACTATATGAAACGAACACTAAACTGCATGAATGTGATTGTTATGGGTATTAGTGGCACCCAATGATATAAATAATCATTAATCTCCACGCTTTGATATCGAGTATTTATAAACAATTAATTACTATAATTAATAAACAACAAAAATTGGGATGGAAAATATTTAAATCCGGTTTTGATAAAATGTAACTTTGAATTCTAGACAGTCTCAATCTAGATATAAGTTATTCTTTAATACCTCTTGCTTTTGGTGTTACCTCTGCAATCAAGTTATCCACTGTAACATTTTCGATCCCCCTCTCCTTCACAATTTCTGAAATGAATTGTGAAACAACGATAAAGATACAAATATCTTACCGACAACATCTCATGATAACAATAAATATTTGCATGGTGAGCAGCTCGGGTGTGCAATAATATTGCGGGAGAATTTCAAAATGGAAAACTAGGAATCAAAGTTTAAAAAGTGAATTCCACTCACAGTCTTATATTTCAAATTGGGTAAATAGTAGCCATAACAACCAGGTACAGATGTAATGTAATACAATACATTACCACCTCACAGTACAATAACTAAGGGTACGTGAACTTTCCCATATACAGTTTTGTGAATTATGACAACTAAACTTTTGATACAACATACAAAATTGCTCTGACATCATTTTTCAAAGGAATGAACTGGTTTTACTACTTGATATGCTAAATCACTGTCAATGAAGTTATCTCATACATATGTAGCCAGCTGACAACAGATTGGGAGGGTCAACTTTAAATGAGTTACCAGCATATATATGTATGTTTCAGAAAATGTTTCAGAAAATTAATTATTGACTTCAGTAATCCAGCATGACAATCATAGTATAAATATGGCCTAGAGCACATAACCTTTACATAAAATAATTTATGTACTCTTGATATGTTATAATCAAGAGCTAATAATACCTAGAGTGTACAATGGGAAAACGGGAAAATAGTGCCATTTCACGGAAATAATATTGTACTTTGTCTGCGAGTCTAGAATAAGTTCATGGTATTGCGTTAAGCAGCATTCTTTGTTCTCTAAAACAAGAAGACCGCTTGTCTGTACGATACTCCTAGGCCGAGATATTGGATCGTAATCATCCCTCCCACACTGGCCTCACGACGCCGTGATACCGCATATTCCCAAACCTTTGTGCGCTTAAAACTTTAGGAAAGTCGCTTCGTGAGTTGTTGTTTTTCCGCGATGACTTTATGAATGAACGGCGTTTCGGTTATCATCAGTGGCTTTTGGGGGGCATCACCTAGGCCCTTATCTCGCATTATCTTTCCTAGCACGGCGAATGCCCGTAATGATGGAGCCGGCAATGTTTTCTAAATTCATTCTCTGCAACGCAGCTCAGAGCCTCAGTTACTATGGTGTAGTAAGAGTACCAAATTTGGGCATGTGACATCAATTATCAGCGCTCCAAGCGGCGACGGAAAACGATAGCCAAAATCGTTAAGCGCGCAAAGGGTTTGGGAATAATGTGGATGTACGGCGCCGTGAGGCCTGTGGGAGGCGAGGTTTACGAGACAATATCTCAGCCTAGGAGCATCGTACTGACTAGCGGTTGGTCTGGTTTTAGAGAGCAAAGAATGCTTTTTAATGCAATACCATAAAATTATTATAGACTCTCAGTCAAATTAGAATAATATTGCCGTAAAATAGTACTATTTCCCCGTTTTCCCATTGTACACTCTATAGGTATTATTTGCTCTTGTTATAATGTCACAACTATATCAAGTTTGAAAATCTTGATTTAACATAACTTTCATAATATAATTAATGCAAAGATCAAATAAAAAACCATAACTACTTTTTATCAATTCATTAAAATGTATCAATTCAAACTCACCTTTGGCATGCACTTTGAGCTCATCCCGCCAACCACATTCTATGAGCTGTGTCCGAAGGAGCTCCTTTAACCTACAGTGATAATGCACGAGTAGTAGATCAAAACAGTAAGGACTTACACACATAATTACAGTTATTAATTTTATAACGTTGTAACCCTTTAACTGCAACATTTCATTCACTATCGATTCAGTCAAATCTATCTCTATGACATCGACACATACATCATTACAATTTACATGCTTAATTATACCTTTACACATTTTACTTTTAATAACTCGCATTTTTTGGCATGCACACATAATTTACCTTTCCTTCTCACCAGTTTCTATTAGTTTTTGGTTAATTTTTTCCTTCATTCGCATATCCCTCGGTTTCTTGTCATCCAGACTAAAAAAGTTCAATTCTCATTACACGGGTAGGGTTAGGTCCGATTGATGTGTACTTACTACATTTTATGATACATTACAAGAAAGTAGGCACGTACACAAACATACACGTGTGAAGAGCCGCGACCACAAGTAATACTAATAGTATACTGTATAGTACTAATAGTATTACTAATACTAGTCAGGAGCGGCGCCAGAGGGGGGGGGGCGGTCGCCCCCCCCTATCATTTGCAAGAAAAGGAAAAAAAGAAGAAAAAGAAAAAGAAAAAGAAAAAGGAAAAAGGAAAAGAAAAAGAAAAAGAAAAAGAAAAAGAAGAAGAAAAAGAAGAAGAAACATCTTGCAAATGATAGGGGAGGTCATAGGGGGGTCGCCCCCTAGTGTTGTCAATCGGTTGTAATTTCGTAATCGATCATCGGTTGGACCCAAGTAACCGATGATCGGTTACAATCGGTTACTCGGGGTGTTGAATGCCTGCGTGTGCGTAACGTCGTGTGCATGTACGTGTGTGCATGTATGTGCTTGTTTAGCCCTGTTTACTGTTTGTTTTGCACTGTTTACTACTGTGTGTATAATACATGTATGTTAATAAAGGATAACTTGTATAGTAGCGATGATATCTCTGATTCTCATCACTTTTCCAAGTTGTCTTGTTCAAGTTTAAAAAAAAAAAAAAATTGATTACAAACAATCAGACCAATCAGAGCAAGTCTATCGGCCCTCCTGCAGCACCACAGATACAAGCGAGAACCAGGGGCTATTGTAAGACTTGCTCTGATTGGTCTGATTGTTTGTAAATGGCGAACGTAATTTACTAAAGTTAAATGAAGCGGGGTTTCTGAAAAACAATCTTTTAAGAAGTGAATAACCATTGAAGTGACTGTATACACATATCAGTAGCAAGGTAAAGCCATGTAGAAGGGAACGGTAGGTTTTTTTTTGCGCCAATAGCGGCGTACGGGCCGCATTCGCAGCACATGCATTTTGCATGCGATCTCACAAAATTTCAATGAACCCCGTTCTGTCCCAATAACCCTCACCAAAATATAAAAAAGGTTATATGGGACAGAATTATTCGGTCTAGGTTAGGGTTAGGGAGTAGGCGTAGGCGACTCCCTAGACTCGTTAGTGGAGTAGGCGAGGTACGGTCCGGCATATCAGATAGTACCAGCAGAGCATATAAATCACGATGATTTATATGCTCTGGTACCAGGGTATGTTCCGGCAGTACCCTGGGGGACATAGACCCTCTCAGCCCTAGGAATAGCTAAGGGCTAGGTCTAGTAAGTAAGTAGTACCGTACTAGTACTAGTAGTACTAGTAGTACTAGTAGTAGGGACTAGGGCCCAATGAATGATAGAGAACATGGGTCCCAATAAATCCAATGTGCCTAACCCTAACCCTGGTCCCTAACTCTAATCATAACCCTAACCTATTATATTTATATTGATGTAAATGACATTGGTTTTATTGGGACCCATGTTCTTTATCCTTGAACCGGGACTAGTAATTTAGCTGAAGTGGCACAGCTGCCACAAATCACAACAGGAGTGACAAGACTGTGTTGAAGACATATTACCGCCAATCAATGCAGCAATTTCAGGTTATCATAAGATTTGAGGACTACTTAGCCAGTCTGTTAAACGATTAGTCCTCTTTTAGCGTTTCGTGCGGTAGACTGCCTATATCAGTATATGAATGATATATTCAATATTAATTTTAGTATCAATGAAAGAGTACTTACTCAGCCATGTTGCGAATACCCTGCCACCTACCGGCTGATTTTAACATGATTCTTACTCTTGATCGGCACCACTGATCGATCTACATGGGGGGGGGGGGCCTACGCTGTTATCATGAGCTAATAATACCTATTAGCTATTAGCTATATATTCGTAATCGCACATCGATTCTAGATTCGGACTCTTGATTCTTAGTTTATGATGTTATTGTACGAAAGACCGTAGACGAATGTGGTCCGTCATAAACTAATTATATATAATATATTATAATATATATTATAATATTATAATAATTATATATAACTAAGAATATCTTATTGGGGTAAATATCTTACAGGCTCTCATATATATATATATATATAGGCCTAATTATATTGTAAATCTTATAATATATCGAAGATTATCTTACCTTAGATATTCTTAGTATATTTGTTATAGTATATGATGGGATTCTGTAAATATAAATGCTCGTCAGATAGCTACCTACAGAGCGAGCTAAAAATTAAAATTTTAGTAAGTGAAAATTATGTTAAGGCCTTCACTATATATAGCGCTGAACCTCGTGCTAATAAATTCGGCACTGATATATCCCGTGTTTATAATCATAGTATACCGATACTGAGGAATGATATGGTTATTATTTCCACGATGTTACCTTGTAATTACCTTAACTACGACGTATTTATAACTCTTGGCCACACGAGCCAATGGAAGAGAGATGGACAGAGGTTAGTAGCCCCCCCCCCCCTACATCGCATATAGCACATACATAACACGCTAACTTAGAATAGTTTTAAGACGTATTTATTACTCCTGGCCACAAAGGTCTAATGAAAGAGAGAACAGCAGTACGCTGTCTATAGCGCATAACACGGTAACTTTAAGGATTTAGTTTCATGATAATATATTTGATCATGTATTTATAACACTTGGCTACACAAGTCTAATGGAAGAAAGATGAGCAGATGCTAGTGTGTCATATATAGCGCATAACACAAAAATTTAGGCTAGTTTTATGATGCATTTACCACTCCTGGGAGTAGTTGTAACTAGTTAACTTGCTATGTCGACTAACTCCTGCTGGGGATGAGGCTGAAGTAGCATGTTGCACAATGCTATCTGGTTGCTGAGGAGACTGACAAGAAACGGAATATTACCGCGTGTGGCTTCCCACGTCGCAATCATCCCAATCATCCGCTGCAGATCCATCACAAGCATATCCTGCGTAATGGTGCCCTCACACCATAGCGTATGCTGAAACCTATGAGTTGCGTGTAAAAAATATTTTTATACGCACCAAACGCAACCCAAATCAACGATTTTGTCAATTCCTAGCCTATTCAACCTATGGGTTGCGTGTGAGTTGCGTGTGGGTTGCGTGTGGGTTGCGT